CTTTTATTTGTTTCATATTGTGAAAACTTTCATTTTTCAGTCAAAACGTCATTGCGTCCGCAACAGCGGGCTTCCTATCTGCGTATATATCTCGCTCCGTTTAAAGACCATCAAGACTCTGAGCTCTCTGAGATCATGAGAGTAGCAGCGTCATCTGCAAATGTTTTTATTAGCAAAAATACGGTATCGATATAAACAGAAGCACTGTATTTTGCGACTGTGCTTTCAGTCATTCCCACCACCGGTTACAGTAATCCGCGTGGTCTGTGTACGCCTTGCACGGCAGCGACAGTTTCGTCAGTTTCGTCACCCTGATTTCCTTTTCTTGGTCATGCGTTCTCTCTAAACCTGTTTGATCGGATATGCCGCTAGCAAAGTTCTCTAGGTGGGTTGCGTTACGCAATTCAGGCCACTTACGGTGAGATTCACTTTCGCTGTAACACCGTTGAAAGGTAGGCACGTCAGAGACACGCTTGCGTTTTGCAATTTTCTGTCTACCTTAGATTTGTTGACTTGGAGTGCCTTAGCTTTATGCTCGTATTCAAGCCGTCGCCCACACGGCTTGCACGAACATCCGGCAACAACAATTAACAGAGCAGCCGCCTTGTATTCATTAACTCTCCATGTGGTCATTTTCTCACCAAACGAATATTTATACTCGTCATTCTTGGCTTGACTCCAGTTGAATGTGGGCTTACAATAAGGTGGCAAATATTCCCAATGGCAGTGGTACTTTAAATGCTCAACGCTGCATCTCTCCACATTCATCGAGGAGAGTCATGCCTGCAATAAGAAATGAACTGCCCCCCCCCCTCGCAATGATCTCTACAGCTTGAAATAACTCTGATATATCGCAACTGGAAAGCGCTGATCGTCCTTCGAGAAATGTTCATAACAGGTACCACTATTTGATTAGAGATACATTTTCCTTTTTCCTGCGACCTGCGAATAATAATAACGTCATCTTTATGATGAACACGTTGCAAGTTATTTTGACCTCGATGCAAAACGTCACTATTTAGTTTCCGGACTTGTTTAAAATGAATGTCTTTTCCCCTTCTCATAAACGTGATCACTTCAATACGGGTCACTGAAGCTTGAGAGAAATTAAACATCCAAATTTTGGTTCCGTCAGTGACAATCAAAATCAAAATTCTCTTGCTCTGAGAAACTGGGTGATGATCGTCGAAGCCAAAGTCATATTTCCCTTGCATTATGTACTAAACTGACGTCACATTTTCGTCAATACCGTAAATAACGAGATAGGGCAAAGTGCAATGAAATTTGCTCTTGTTTGCCACCATGTTATCTATGATCAGTTGACAATGTCCTAAAATTTCTCATACCCTTCTCAGATATATTCCTTTCTGACCTGACATGAGAAAAAACCTTCGTTCAGAGTAACCGTAACTTTTCATGCTGAAACGGTTCCTCTTTGAACTTACTACTTCTAAATGCCTTTCGCAAATGAATCGTATGTCAGTGCTGGATTACGGCTGGTTCCGAAGCATCTGCGGCTTGAGCTTTCTGAAAAACGGTGTTACAGTGAAAGCTGCAAGGCGGTCCTATGTTTATTTCTTTTGCCTTTTCCGTATTTACTGATAAATTCCTAAGTGTCGTTCATTCCTTTCTTGACTAGTGGATTGAAGGATTCGTGAACAGTCATGTTTGTAACCTTCTTCTCCATTGCGCTTTCTAATATCCCATAGAATTACTCGTTTCCATAATCTTCAAAACTTTCATAATTCGCTAAATTTGTATTGACGCATATTAAGTTCAAAGTCAAGAACACGCACACTTTTATCCCTTAAAACTGTCTGGCGTTGAAACACGTCACATCAATCCATTCGTCGTTTTACCTCGTTAAATACTCGGTTAGACGGCACTGTAAGTTAGTACGGAGCCAAAGTGTAACACGTTATTTTTCCGGTTAATTTTTATGCCCGTAAGTGTTTGGTGAACTAGGTCCTATTGCTTGAAATGCGTTGATGACGCGGTCAAGCTTAAACTTCTGTTACTTATTGTACATATTATTAGATTTCTTTAATTAATCACGACATTTATCAGTGATTTGCAAGAGGCAGTCGCATCTGACAGAGTCTGTAACGTTCTCGCCAGAATTATAGCCTAAACACCGAGTCTAGAGCAGGGGTCATCGAAAACTTTGCCCCGAACGTAAAGTTTGTTGGATCTCTTTTTCAATTCAAAGGTTGAACTAGACTTTCATCAAATAGTAAATGTCAACTTATAATATCTGCAGACTGAATTGTCATTTTTTATTAATGATTTAATTAGCAGGATTAATTTCATATATGTTTAATATATGTGAAAGTATAGCAGCAAACGCTTTTTTTATTTAAATCTCTTATAAATACATGCCATCTAACCATTTCTTCTAACTGGTTAGCTATTTGTCATTTCTAAGCGGGCTGAAAAATACGTATTTTACAGAGCAAATTGTATTTTGGCGTCATCATGTCTGTGCTGCTGGATATGAAAATTCGTCATTATGACATGAGCAGTGTAGCACTGCCTTTAACCACTGAATGATTAATTTTGTTGTTATGCTACGTTGTTCCAGAAACTTTGCAGCGCAGTCATTTTTTGCTTAATGTACTTCGATGCTGTTTTCAAAGGGAAATATAATAAACAGTCAGTTAATCTGTTACTGCCTGTAACCAAAGAACATTCTGATTATCAGAACGAATTCTTAAAGATCTTTCTTCAGAGTCGCAGTTGTTGCCATTTATTCAAAATTGCAACGGTCAATAAATTTCGTGAAATCAATAAATTCGTTTCATTGTTGCCATGACGCTTGACATAGCTGTCCTAGTAAACCTCCCGCGGCTCTGCGTCGAAGGCCTGCGTGCATAATGTCAACAGTCACGAAGATGGGCAACAGCATTAGTCCCATTCATTGTGTAGTAAATATGTGTCACCAATAGTTAGGCGTTTCCGCAAAAGTTTCGGGTCTGAGAGACTGAAATCGCGAATGTTCCTTTCTTTTGAGAAAACCGGAGTGTCAAGAGTAGTATTTTGGCAGATCAGATTTCAAAAAATGCCACTGTAATCAATTTTGCACATTGCAACTTCATCTGTGTCATTCGGACATGATCCAAAGGTACATGTTATATAAATTGAACGAATCTGTCAGC